CAGAAGCGAGAGTCTTGCTTTGAGAGAAGGTAAAAAGTTGTCGAAGTAGTAACAAGATGCCGTACCTCTGCAGCGCGTTGAGCTTCTCGGTTTGCCTGCCTGTCTGCCTCTCTTCCTTCTTTTCCTTCCTTCCTTTTTTCCTTCCTTTCTACCTACCGTGACATCGATGGCGTTCCTCGATCTCGATGCCTGTATATCGAGGTTCCTCTCCACTCCTTGGCTGATGTCATGGTCATCGCCCTGCCCTGTTGCATTTCGTCGAACGGCCGTTCATTACTTGTTTGTCAAAGCAGCGTTTCGGTCTCTTGCTGGCCATCTCTGAGTATCGTGCACGTACACCTTGGAATTGAACTGTGTTGACATCGTTGTTAGTTCGGTAGGTCGAAACGATGGCTTTCCGTACTTGAGACCGCCTTTTTCGGAGAGTGTGTGTCGTGTGTGTCCCTATTGAACGTTGCTGCTGATGTTTTATGCGCCGTTTGATCGATAACTCGCACATTCACTCTTTTTGTCTTGTATTCTTTCAAACTTACGCGTTTAGCTGCAGTGGTTACTTCCTCATTGGTCTTTTTCTCTTCACAGACTTCGACGCAACAGACAGAATACCACCCTGTCTAAAATTAGTACATCTTATTAATTTTTGGAATTGTCAATAATGTAGCGATCACCGTAGGTGTGGCGCGACTAAGATGTCATTGGCGGTAGTACCGTGGTTTTTGGCTAATCTTATTTGCTAGTTCTTATTTTACGACCCATTAAGTGAGTGTTTTTCATTACTCTATTTCTGTTTCATATTCAACAGCGTTATTACTTTACCTCGGCACTGCGACTACGTTGAAATAGACATTGCATTATTCCCTAATGGCTTATGCTACAGACGCGGCGCCTTTGCTTACCGTTTAATATATTCAGTTTTTTGCATATATCTGTTGTACATCAATGGGAACGCTGGAAACTTCATCAGCCGGTCAGAGAACACACGACGTACTGAAAAGATGCTCCAGGTCTAGTTCTTGCGGATAATTGATCGGCAGTAACTCGTACTATTGTCTACGTTGTTTTGTCATCGAAGTTATTTCTTAAACGTGTATAGCGCGAAGTGGCAAAAGATCTGAAATCGTTGATTTCCGTGGACTCTTTAGCGTGCAATTTCGAGGTTTATATCAGACTTGCGTACGGGTTCCGAGTCTGTGATAGCCAATCTTTTGTTTTACTTCTCTCATTTCTCCGCATCATAAGGTCTTTCGTTCTCCTATCAACCTGAAGATGGTTTGTGTTCTAAAGTTGAAAGAAAATACTGCCCTTTGATTCATCGATTCCTGTTTGCTTTTTGGTCATCGTTATGCAGTGCTGTGCCGTAATTCGGTCACCGGGACATCTTTTAACCCGATTGTCTTTTTCTCAAAATCGAAGGACTTCTGAAAAAGTGGAAATGTGTCTCGTGCCTCACTGCACACACGAAGCTTAGCTGGTCTTGACGGCAACGCCTTCGACTTATGATCAGTTTTCGACAGCGGCGGGTTTACGTCACTGGACGAATCCGGTTTGCGCCGAGGTTGACGCTGTTTCTAAATATTCGCTGCAGTACGTCGTTCACTCGTCCGACCTCTGCCGTCTGTCCATCATTCGATTTCGGACAGTTCAGCGCTTAACGATCGTCCAAGCACAAACATCGATCCACGTGTCTCATGAGTAAATTTCGTCATAATGTCGAGTTAATTACGTTAATCGTACAATCGTCGACGTCTCCGTCGTCGTCGTTGCTGCTGTAGCAGATTTGTTTGACGTGACGACTAAAATGACTTTATGGGGGGGAGGGGGACACCTGAATGTGCTCCTTGCTGACGTCGATTTTGCCCAGTGTCCACCAGATTGTTCGAATCCAGTTTAAGTTCTGCTTTGATTTCTCTGCGCTGGAGCTGCATCGTTGGCAAGCTAACAGATGCATAACTTTCTCTTAAACCAGCTGTGAAGAGAAAGAATTCAATAATATTCTGGCGTTTTGTTTTCTTTCCGAAAGCCTTCCTAGTCTCAGATCTTTACCATTGTCAGCTGTGGTTTAGAGACAGAACCAGCACTCATTAGGTGGTAATATAACAAGTAATTAAACTACTTTTAATGCTAGTGAAACAGTTGAAGAGTTGTACCTGATTTGAACTATCCTTCCTCCTGCATAAACTAGACTGTCTTTCATCCTCTAGCCTTTCAGCTTTTGTACAGCCGTTGTTCCTCACTCCGATAAAATCCATAAATCAGTTGCCCACTTCAAGAAGATGAACGATGGAGATGATTCTGCCTACAGGGAATATTTGAGTGTTCTTGAAGAGATTGTAGTAACTTATTCCATTTTATTCAATAAGCGTAATTCTGCGATTTTTTGTTGTTGAAATCTCATACTTTTAAATTGGCCTACCCCCTTATTGTTCAGGATCACGATTTGGCATCACGTTGTTGCCAAGAATACAGGACTCTCGCAATTTTGCATTTCATATGCTGTTATTAGTTCAGACTGAAATTACTGAAACGCAAAGTTATTCTTAAATTTGATGCTTCAGGCAGTGACCTCAAAAGAAAGTGTGATTTTGCAGCTTGAAAAAAATCGAAAAAATGTTTTTAACCGCTAGAATGTCGGTCTTTCTTAAATCTACGTGATGAGTCAATTTTAGCACACTTGTTTCATTAAATTAATGTAGCGGTGCTAATCTGAATTTCTTTGTCGTCAGTCAGCGGTAAATTGTTTTTCTTAATGATAGAATGGACAGCAGCTGTATGACAAGAGTAATCTCTCTTCTCTTTTCTTCTAATTTATCAGAGCAGTAATCATTTTTCAACCTTAGAAGTGACCTCGATCGGGGCTCAGACCCTGGAAATTTCGGTTGTGAATTCGACATCGTGATGACCGAGTAACCCCAGTTTTAAACAGTATATAGGGTCGCGTCTCTGCTCATAAGAATTCATGATAGGGACAAAGATAGCTCGCTCCGGGAACCGAACTCGGTACCTCCGAGTTAGAAGTCGCCCTCTTACGCGCTGTACCACTACGCTACTGTTCTGGAATATTAGGCATAAGCGGTGGAAGCTGTAGAACATGAGTCTGTCAAGGCAAAGGCCGATTTTGCTGTTGGGAAAATCTACAGAAAGCAGTGGTCATCGCATCAGTCAACTGTCGGTAATCACTGGTCTGCTGTCCATTATCGTTCGCTGTGAGAATTAACGTATTACGGAAGCTGCTATGGATTCTCATGAGAGTTGTCCATGAATTGGGTTATTTTCTAAACCTGATAGGTTTAAAATCATAGTTACAATGAAATTTTTCTAAACAGATCAAGGCAATAAAATTTCCTCTGAAAAATCGTCCGTCCTGGAAAAGTACGCAACTTTAGTCAACTTCGTTCTTCTCAGAATTCACGTCTGAGCTAAGCATTGAAAGACATCAGTATGATTAAAAAATTGCAAACTAAAGCAACAACATGATTCAATGGTCTCATAACGACTGTGATCGAATTAGTCCCCCTGCTAAAAATTTCTTTGCGGTTGCCGCACCGTAGAAACCATGGCGATGTTCAGAGTAAAGTACTTAATTCTCGCTGCAGGGTTATGCTTCTGTCTTTCAGCAGTGTATTTACGTTTACACCAAGAAACCAGAGCGATTTTTAATGAAGAAACGCCTTAAATTACGAGAGATCTGTTCTCCATTTCGTCTAAGATCGGAAGGAATTGTTTGGTTTATCCACTAGTTAATAGTTTTGTTGGATGCCACCCCCTGGTTTTTGAACATCATTACTTTTACAACCAATGGACCTGTTACCAGGTTTAAACGATAAATGGGGGCGGCTCAATTCGGTTGAAGGATTTCAGTAAGTCCTGCGTTATGACTCTTCGTGAATGGACGTCACTCTAATGTCAAAGATTAAATTTCTTTACGGGTACGGTCTGTGGCAATTTCACAGATTATTTTAAAATGGTAAGTTGATTCGTACAGCGAACCTGCGGATCTAGAAGTGACTAACTGTTGTAAAATG